TCATTTGCCTCTGGTTCCTGTACTAATTTTTTGCTGTGGGGATACTGGTTTCTTTTTTTTTTTCTGTCTTTCCATCATTGCCCTTGGTATTGTTACTGTGCCTGCACTGTGTGCAATTAAGTATTTTCTAGCTTGTAATAATAACAATGGTGATATTTAGAATGGAAAGGTGAGAGGAGTGGGATAGCAAAGAAGGTAAAGAAAAAGGAAAAACAAACAAGTAAAAACACAAAACAAACAAACAAAAAAACCGTGTCAAAGACATAAACAGGGAGAGATAGTGTACTGATTAACAGTTAGCTAAACAGGCATTAGGGAGACAGAGAGGATAAAAATAAAATAAAATAAGAATTAAGAAAAAATAAAATAATTAAAAAAGATCTCCAAGTTCAAATGCAATGAAGTTTCAGTCTTAATAATTTTGGTGTTGGTCTGTCAGCCTCCAATCCTGAGATGGTGTCCCAGAAGTAGTTCTGTCATTGTCTCATCAAAAAGGAAAAAAACCAAAAGACAAAGAAAAACCAAAACACAACAAAGTGTCCCAAGTTCAGATGCAATACAATTTCAGTAAGTTTTTCAGCATGCAGGTGTAGTTAGGTTGTTGTCTCATCAAAGGAAGAGAAAAAAAATATTGAGCCTGGAGACAGTTTTATGAATGGCTGTCTGAGGCTGAGGCTCACCTGCCCGCTGCTGTCAGCCTGCTGTTGCTGGAGGCGTTATTTATGCAGATCTCAGGGATAAGCTTAGCACTCACCTGGCCCCGCTGGCTTTGTTTACTTTGAGTTCTTCTGGGCAGGACGGCCACTGTTACAAGCTTTCCCCTTTCCAAGCACACTGGGGGAGGTGGCATTACGCTGCTTTCTCTGGCTGGTGTGTTTATTTATAGTTCATGTGGGAAGTGACACTTCTCCCCTCTGCTGTGGAGTTTTCCTCCTACCACCGATTTTACAAGCTTTCCCGCTCCTGCCTTCTCAGGCCGGCTTGTTTTACAGTTCTGTGAGGGATTGCCCCTCCCCCCACTTTGGCGCTCAGGGCGCCCCGCCCTCTTTGCTACGTGTCTTTTTTATTGTTGTTGTTTATTATTCAGTTTGTTTTTTCTCTTTTTTCCCTGGGTGGGGGTTGGTCTGTCCAGGGGGCTATGCTGATCTGGCCCAGGATTGTCTGGGGAGTACCTCCTGTCGCTTAGCTCACCTGGTGTTCTGCTTCTCCCAAGCAGGTTAGGTGTTGGCGTCTGGCGGTGCGAGAGCCCTCCTGGTTTCTCCATTTAACATGGAGTGGAGATCCTATGCGCAGGCTGGGGGTGTGGTGGTGTTGGAGTTTTACCTCTTCTTGGTGGTTTTCCCTTCAAGGTGTTCTCCAGCGTCTCTCTAAGATTTTACCTTAGGAAGCACGCTTTCTGCTTTCTCCTCTAGTCCCCATCTTCCATCTGGAATCTAAAAAATCATTTCTCCTGGCTGGCTTTGCCACAAAATGTTAATGGCACTGGTGCAGTCTGTGATCAGAAGACTTCCAAATTTTTTGTATCCCATGGGGAAGAACCCATGGCAGGACACATGGGTGTAAAGAGAGTTTATTAAAAGTTAGGGAAGGAAAATACAAAATGGAGCACAGTGATGCCCAGGTGGAAGCCAGAAGCTGAGAGAGCTAGCTTTAGGTCTTATGTGAAGATCTTTGATGCACTTTAAATTGATACTAGAATAGGGCGAGAGACTGTGACCTCGTTTCACTCTTCTACATGCGCATATAGTTTTCCCAGCAGCATGTGCTGAAGAGGCTATCTTTTCTCTAATGTATGGTTTGGGATTCTTTGTTAAAATCAAATGGCTGTAGCTAAATGGGTTTGTGCATGGCTTCTCTATTCTGTTCCATTGGTCTTCGTATTTGTACCATGGTATTTTTCTTACTGTGACTCTGTACTATGGCTTGAAGTTAGGTATTATGATATCTCCAGCGTTCATTGCTCTTTTTGCTTAGGATTGCTTTGGCTATTTGAAGTCTTTTGGGCTTCCCTATAAACTTTAGGATTGATTATTATATCTCTCTAGAAAATGTCATTTGGATTTTAATGGGGATTGTATTCAACATATAGATTGCTTTTCATAGTATAGCCATTTTTACAATATTGATTCTGTCCATCAGTGAGCATGAGAAGTCCTTCCATTTTCTAATGTCTTCTTTGATTTTTTTCTCCATTGATTTATAGTTTTCATTGTATAGGTCTTTCATTTCCTTTGTATTTTTTGATGCTATTATGAATGGGATTGTGTAGAGAAATGCTACTGATCTTTGTACTACTGACTTTGTATCCTGATACTTTGTCAAATGTGTTTATGAGATCTAAGATGTTGTTAGTGGAGTTTTTAGGTATAAGATCATATCATTTACAAATAGGGATAATTTGACTTCTTTCTCCCCTATTTGAATTCCTTTATTTCTTTTTCCTTTCTTACTGCTTTGGATTGGAATTCCAGTACTATATTGAATAAGAGTGGGGAGAGTGGAAGCCTTGTTTCATTCCTGACTTTAAGGAAATGATTTTAGTTTTCCCCCTGTTTAATAGATGTTGGTGATAGGTTTGTCTATTTATCCTTGTAATGTTGAGATATTTTTTCTATTCTAGTTTCTTCAAAGCTTTTTATCATGAATGTATGTTGAATTTTGTCAAAGGATTTTTTTTCTGCATCTGTTGAGATGATAATGACTTTTGTCCCTAATTCTGCTTATGTGTTGTATTATATTTATTTACTTACTTGCATATGCTGAACCATCCTTGCATCCCTGGAATGAAACTTGCTTGATTATGGTATATGATATTTTTAATATGTTATTGGATTTGCTTTGTAAGTACTTTACAGAGGGCTTTCATGTCTATGTTTATCCATGAAATTGGCCTATAACTTTCTTTCTTTCTTTTTTTTTTTTGATGCATCTTTACCTGGTTTTGATAATAGGGTAATGCTGGCTTTGTAAAATGAGTTTAGTAATATTCCTTCCCTTTGTATTTTTTGGAATAGTTTGAGGAACATTGTTATTAGTTCTTCTTTAAAGAAGAGATGAAGAAATTTATTAGTTCTTTAAGAAGGACTAAGCAGTGATCCATCCAGTTCTGGGCTTTTCTTTGCAGAGAGGTTCTTTTAACTGTGTCAATCTCATTTTTCTTTATAGACTGGTTTAAGTTGTTGTGTCCTCTTTGTTTAATTTTGGTGGGTCATATGTGTCGGAATTTATCAATTTCTTGATTTTCTGGTTTACTTGAGCATAGGTTTTCAAAATACTCCTGTATAATCTTCTGAATTTCACTGGTGTCTGTTTTAATAATTTCCTTTCCATCTCTGATTTTATTAATTTGTGTATTCTCCTTTCTTCTTTTGGTTAGTTTGGTTAAAGTTTTGTTGATCTTATTTAAGTTTTCGAAGAGCCAAATTTTTGTTTCATTAATTTGTTGTATCATTCTTTTGGTCTCCCTGTTATTTATTTGTACCCCAATTTTTATAATTTCTTTCTGTCTATTACTTTCACTGCTTCATCAGGCTGTTTGAGATCTCTCTATTTTTCTGATGTGGGTGCTTATGGTTATAAATTTCCCTCTTAAGACTAACTTTTTTTTTTCATTTTTCTTTTATTATTCATATGTGCATACAAGGCTTGGTTTATTTCTCCCCCCTGCCCCCACCCCCTCCCTTACCACCCACTCCACCCCCTTCCGCTCCCCCCCTCAATACCCAGCAGAAACTATTTTGCCCTTATCTCTAATTTTGTTGTAGAGAGAGTATAAGCAATAATAGGAAGGAACAAGGGGTTTTGCTGGTTGAGATAAGGATAGCTATACAGGGCATTGACTCACATTGATTTCCTGTGCGTGGGTGTTACCTTCTAGGTCTTAAGACTAACTTTGCTGTGTCTCACAGGTTCTTGGAAGTTGTGTTTTCATTTTCATTTGACTCTAAGAATTTCTTAATTTCTTCATTATCCCCTTTATCATTCAAAAGTGTGTTGTTCAATCTCCATGAGTTATAATGGTTTTTGTAGTTTTCCTTGACACTGATTTTTAATTCTATCCCATTATGGTCTGTTAAGATACAGGGTATTATTTAGATTTATTTTTGTGCTTGTTGAGACTTGGGTTTGAATCACAGTGCCACCTCTTCATACTGGTGTCCTCAGCAATGTCAGTGGCTCTCAGTGCCTGAGTACACTCAATGATGACCAATGACACTACAATGTGGGGCTCTTCTGAAGATTCTATGAGAAGGGAACAATACAAAAAGCATTTTGTGTGGGCTCCATGAGAGCTAGGTGCTGTGTACATGGGAATCATTCCTGTTAGATGTTCTTCTTGCATGTGAGTCAGCACCATATGGACACTGGGGCTGAGGATGGGAGAAAGTTTTACTTTACTCTTAAGTGCCTTTTGATTTCTTTAAACATTGTGGCAAAATTCACAGAACATACAACTTATGATCTTAACAATGTTCACCTATGCTGTGGTTTTATGTGCAGTCATCACCACTGTCTACCTCCAGAGTGATTTTCGTCTGACAACTGTAACTCTAACCCATTGCACAACTCCTTGCTCCCCTCTCCCCAGCCCTGGATGACCCCATTTTGCTTTCTGTCTCTATAAATTTGGCTGCTCTGTATACCTCACTTATCACAGTACAGTATTATCTTGTTTTTGTTTTGAGACAGGGTCTCACTATTTAGCCCAGGCAACCTCCCAGTGCTGATGTTACAAGCATGTGCCACCATGTGTGGCTAATATTTATATATTTTTGTGATTGGCTTATTTCACTTGGCTTAATGTCTTCAAGGTTCATCCATGTTGTAGCGTGTGTCAGAATTTCCTTTCTTCAGACTGAACAATATTCCACTGGATACAAACATTTTGTTTCTCTCTTCATCCATCGGTAGATACTTGGGAGTACCTATTGAGTTTTGAGCCATATATATATTTGTTTCTTTTAAAGTTTTATTTTGCAGCATGTAAGAGCTTTAACACCATGCACCACCTCTTCTTCATCATCAGGCTGCACTTGCCAGTGGGGTACCATGGCCGAGCCTCCTCTGTTGTGGTGTCTGGCACCCCAATCCGAAGGCCCATGGGACAGATGAGACCGGATACGTGTAAGTGATTCTAACGTTCAGATCCTTCTGGTGCTTTCTCTTCCCAGGCAGCGAGTTCTGCAGCCTGGCATTCACAGCTGCCCCTTTCTTCTGGTGTCATTTCAGCAAAGCCTCCTGCATATGGTGCCTGCAGACTCTTGGATATTGAGCTGGAAATGGTGAGCTGTGTGTGGAGTTTTATTGCCTTAGGATCTACTTGAGCTCTTATGGCAGGAGAGCTCTTTCTGGGATGGCTAGTCTGCATGACAAGCAGTTCATACATCTCCAGCCATCAGTGCCAGCTCTGTGTCCCCATCCTCATTATTTACTGACTCTGTATTTATGAATTAACCTGCTTATTGAAATTTATTTGTAACCTCCAATTAACACAGAGCTTTTGTGGTCATTCATGGACACACAAAGAGCAATAAAAAAGCTTGAGTTTCCTAATGCACACATTGTCAAATGAGGTTACAGCCTTGTCTTACTGTTTAAGCTCTTATACATGTACTCTTTCTGTAGCCTCTTTTTTTTTTGCCACATTTCTCACATTTTCCCACTCTTTTGGGTGATTTCATTGTTTATAACAGTTCCCAAGTGCTGTTTTGTGCCCCTAAGTGCAAGAAGGCCTAGAAATTCTTACAGAGAGATGTATGACAGATAAGACTTATACAGGCTTGAGTTTTGGCACTGTTGACAGGGAGTTCAATGTTAATGAATCAACAGTATAACGTGTGCTGTCTTTAAACAGAAGCACATAAAACAAGGTCATTTATAATTATTTATTGGTTAATTGATGAAAGTATTGTGGCCAGAGGCTTGTGGGCACCTATCCCTGTGTTTCTGCTAGGAGTGTTGGTCCAGTATTTGCAAGTTCATGTTCTTGGTGACATTCTAGAACATAACTACCTTCAATGACAACAACTGACCATACAAGCCTGATTGTTCTGTGGCTGGGTCCATGTAACCTCAGGCCCATGGTTACTTTAGGGGTACACTGTTTTTAAAATTAAGATTTTTTATTTTGAGATTATTGTAGACTCACATGCAGTTGCAAGAAGTAATACAGAGACTCCTGTGTATCCTCCACACAGCTTCCCAGTGGAAACTTCCTGCAGAATATAGAGCAGTATATAGCTAGGATCCTGACATGGGCATAGTTGGGTCCCTCATGCTATATGACTGCCCTTTTGAAGAGGGACACTGAACTCTAGGCAGTCTTGAAGGTGAGGGGTCAAGAAAGCAATGGGGAGGAGGAGCTAAGCCAAAGGAGGGAGGACTCTGGGCACACAGCAGTGTCTTCAGCATCTTCTGGGTTGTCGGATGACTGATGGAACTAGGTCTAGAGCTGGGGGTGCAGACAGGCAGATGGAGGGGCTCTCCCTTAGCACCAGGTTTGGGGGTTACCTTGGGAACTCTGAACTTCTCATCCCTGCAAGGGTTGGAGAGCAAGCCTTGGGCCACCCAGGTGGCTGCAGAAATGGGAATCCAGGCTTGGTTAGGCTGGCCAGAGAAGCAGTAGGCTTTGTGCAAATTTCCTGTTGCCACCTTCCTCATTTCTTTGGATGCAGAGGCAGGCATTAGTGGGGTTGGCATATTGTCCTTAGGTGGCAGAGTGTTCCCAACCAGCTGTCTGCCTCCTGTACCTTACTGGGGGACCTCTTGAGACCTCGAAAGGAGTCTCCCCACAGAGATTCCCAGGGTAGGGCCTGAGCCCTGGTTTGGGGCCAGGGTCTTCTCTCTGAAGAATAAAGGACACTGGCCAGTGCTTCTCTTGTGTCGGTCCATTGTGGGAAGGGAAGAAAAGGCAGAAAGCCAGCATGGAGAAATGTTTGGGGCAGATAATTTGAACTTAAAGGTGGTAGGATTTTCCATGAGATGGTGTTCTTGGATCTTTTTCTGTTCTTATCTTGAAAAATGTTTAAACATTGTCACAGATAAAATAAAATTGAGTGTTGCTTATGTGCTTTTGAAAGAGCCTTTCCCAGGTTTTTAATATCTGGATATTGTCTTGGCTCATAGACATCATTCTAGGGCTATTGAAAGAGGTATTCAGGGGTGTGGAGTGCACCTGTCAGGCACTCTTGTCTTCATTAAGGAGGCAGCCTTTCGATTATTCATGATATGAAGATACGATGATATTTTCATTTTTAACAAGCCTCACTTGGCTGTTGGATCTTTAGATGCTGAGGGAAAGAGTGGAAGGGCCTGAGATGTGCTGAGGGGTGGGGGAGGCTATGGTGGAGCTTGGGCTGAGGTAGTAGCACTGGCACTCTGCTGCCTTCCAGGCTTTCCTGTGCTGGCTGTCTCACTGCTCAGGTACAGTTTGAAACTTAGCGATACAGTGGCTTCAGGCCAGGCCCCTGTATCAGTCCTGGTTCTTGACCAGGGTAGGGAAATACTTGGCCTTTGCTCTCTAGGTGACCAGTGGTCTGAGGAAACAGGTCATCCCTGGATTCTAATCACCTTTCCCCATGTCAGGCTTTCTTTGTAGGCCCTGGGAACAGATTCGGAGAGCCCATTCCCATTTCCAAGGCCCATGAGCACATTTTCGGGATGGTCCTCATGAATGACTGGAGCGGTAATGACTGATAGCTGAGCTCACAGTGACACTTGGCTCTGGGGGACAGGAGGGGCTACTTACATACTGGGACTTTGTTCCAGGAGCTGTGGGTGGCTTCCTGTGTCTGTTGCTGGTGAAGGCAGCAGGCAGTGCAGTGCCTAAGAGTGTGGGTGTGGGCATCAAATAGACTTTCTGGTTCTGAGAACTTGGGCCACTGACTTAAACTTTCTGAGCTCCAACTTGCTCATGTGTTGAATAGGAATGCAGTTGACATGACAACTAATATTTACTGAGCGCTTACTATGTGTCAGGGCCTGGGTTTAACACCTCACATCTATTCTCCTTCTGATCCCTACACACCATGGGTAGGACTGCAGTTCTTGTTTTACAGGTGAAGGACGGAGGCACAGAGAGATTTGAGCTGGTTGTTCACTAAGACTTGAAGCTAAGCAGCCCAGGAGATGCCCCTCTCCTTTCAGTCCCTTCATGAGAGTCATCCTAACCACCCTTTGCCATTCTTCTCTCTACCATAATCTGGCATAGTGCCCTCAAAGGACCTCTGTCCTTAGCATTGACTACTCTTGCCCCTTATTCCAAGATAGCTTGGGTGGGGCCAGAGCTTCATGGGGAGGACTGTGATGGGTATCTTTGCTCCGTGATCAAGGGCAGGAGGGAGCTTTGAGGTGAGTTCTGCTCAGCCTATGTAAGCTCTGGTCCTGCCCTTCTCCTGTAGCTCGAGACATCCAGCAGTGGGAATACGTCCCTCTTGGGCCTTTCCTTGGGAAGAGTTTTGGTACCACCATCTCTCCATGGGTGGTGCCCATGGATGCCCTCATGCCCTTCGCTGTGCCCAACCCAGAACAGGTAAGCACAACCTTTGCAGGAAGCTCCCACATTGGGCCCTGCTGCCTCCAAGCCTGCTGCCGCCTGAGCAGGTACACCAGGCCTGGAGACCCCAGGGGTGGGGAAGCTCTGTGCTCACAGCACACCCACAGTGGAGTGCCCTGGAGGATCTTGGTCAAAGTGACTTCCAGGCACCATGACTCCGGTGGTTTACTTGCCTTCTACACAGTTCTTAGGAAAAACAGAATTTTGTAACCCTCAGAATCCTCTAAGGCTAGGGGAACTGGCCAGGTGGCAGAAAAAGAAGTCATAACCACACTGCACAATTTACCATATTGCCATCAAATTGTGCTCTGTGGGAATGGCACCCTCTGGAACCAAAGTCATAAAATGTGGTTTAGAGTACAGCCATGAGGGAAGTCTGGTCTCTGTAGCCTCCAATTCTCAGCACCCCTGTCCAGGCCTGGGTTGGTGGTCTCACCCCTCTCTTCAAGCCCTTTACAGTCTGCCCGCTGCTCCTTTTCCTCACTTCCAGAACCTCACCAGAGTTACCTATGACCTTGCAGGCCCTCCTTCTTCCTGTGCATCATCTCACCCTTGGCTCTGGCATGTAACCTGTTTTGGTCCTCCAGTACCTCTGGGTCCTCACAATGCCTCCTGCCAACTCTCCTGTATGAAGGGCAGCTGGGCCCTTCTCCTTCCAGGTCTTCCCTGGAACCATTTTCTCCTTCCCACCAGTATGCGGTCCCACCTTTCCTACACTCCTCTGTTAAAAACAGACTTGGGATCTTTCCCTGAAAACCAGTTCCTCATGAAGTTCTTGCAGGGCTCTCACAGTGCCCCCTGCTCCCTCCTCCACTGCTCTGCCATAGCAATCCCCCCACCCTTCATCTCTTTCCTTCTCTCTGCCTCCCTCTCAGTAAGTTGTATGGTCACTTCCTCTGTAGCTGCCATCAGTATGTAGTGTCTAGCCTTACCAGGGACCTCCTGGGTCACTGCCTTCTGCTGCCTGTCCCTCCCACTCTCATTCTTCATCCAGACCTGTACTAACATGGCTGTCTGGGCTCCGCCTGTTTCTGTGTTCTTTCCAAGGACCATATTTTCTTTTTTTTTCCCTTTATTTTTGTACTGGGTAGGGGTATATTGTTGCATTTACACAGGTTCTTACAATGTATGAAATATATCATACTTGAATTCACCCCCTTTACTGTTCTTTATCCCCCATGCCCCTGATTCCTGGAATAGTTTCAACAGGTATCATTTTTGCATTTACATACATGTGTACACATTTTTTCACTCTCCTACTCCCTTTCCCTGTCCTTGGTTTCCCAAGGACCATTGTATGTGCAGTTGTCACCACTCTTTGTTTCTTCTCAACTATTATTTACTTAATGTTTTTCTCTAAAGCAGCTCCCAGTTCAACACTTAAAAGAAAGGAACTTTACATTCCTATGGTATCACTAGCCACATTGTTAATCATGAAAAGAAGCACACAAAATTATTCACATCACCAAAAATGACCTCCTGTCCTCCTAGTGCTTCATATGTCACACTTTGAGAAAACTCTGATTTTGTCAGAGTGCAGCCTTTCTGGCTTGGCTGTCACAGCTGCTTTCCTAGCTGCCCAGCACCACTCTTGGCTGCCTGTTTCTGCTACTGCCTGACCCTTTGCCTTCTGGGGCTCACCTTGCTCTTCCCATTGCCCTAACCTCACCTCACAGGTTTTGTTTCTCATTCTGGCCTCCCACTGCCCCCTTCTTCAGCCTTTTCATCTTCTGGCCTTCTTGGGCATCTCTGGTTTGGACCTTTGACCTTCCAATACCCTCCCTCAGCTTCTCTTCTTGGAGTCTGGGACATATGACCACCCTGCCCCACACTGTCAACCAGGGACACAGTGTCCAGGGACACGGTGGTGGGTCCCTGGAGAAGGCGTATCCTGCTATGCCAAGAGAGCAGGTGCGTGGGGGGACTCTACCTGGTTGAGCTCAGCCGTACCGCCAGTGACTCCTTTGCCATGCTCTGCCCTCTAGGATCCCAGGCCCCTGCCATATCTCTGCCATGACCAGCCCTACATGTTTGACATCAACCTGTCTGTGGCCCTGAAAGGTACATCATGGAGATGGGTGGATGGGTATGTCCAAGTACCATTGCCAGGGTGGATTTTGAGTTTTGGCAGGGTGGCAGGGGAGGTGCTACTTTAGCCCTGGAGATAAGTGTGGCCATTGTAAAGGAAAGGAGTGAAGGGGACATTCTTATGCTCAAAGGGAGTTACAGTGGGCCCACATGTCATCAACTCTATCACTGAGCTCTTACAACTGTTTGGGCTGGAAAGTGTGGTGTTCAGGACCCATCCTGTGCTTGACTCTCTCTCCAGCCTCCCAGGCAGTGTCTGCTCAATCCCCACCCACATCCTGCCATCAATGGCTCCCCCACCCATTATGTGTGCTACATTTCATCCAGTGCCTGTTTGAAAGCCTGACCCTTTGGGGCTGCCATGGGAGGCCTGGCTTAGTCCTTTGGGATTCACAGCTCCCGAGCCACAACTTCATCTGAGAGCCTCACAGATAGGGACTATGTCTTCTGAACTGCCTGGTTGGTTCTGTAATAGACCAGCAGAGCCTTGGTGAGGGGGAGGCTGTCTCTGCAGGCTGTGGTGAGGGTCCTTCTCACTACTGGTGTCAGGGTCTTGGCCCCTTGTGGAGGTGACTCTGGCAAGAGGCTCAGTGCTCTCCAGAAGGAGCAAGGAGCAAGATGCCCCATGGTGGAAAGGGCCTTATATTTGCTGTAGTGGTGTCTGGGAAACTATGCTGGTCCCACTCTTTCATGTTTCACATTGGAAACTAAGAGAGGAAGATGGATTTACCTCGAGTCACTCAGCTGGCTGTTGGCAAAGCTGGGACCAAGTCTACATGTCATAAACTATAGGCTAGTCTCTACCCATGAATGAATGCATCCTTGGAGTCCATTTTCCTTTAGTTATCTTTCTAAGTATTTCTTTCTGCTTGAGATGAGTACATTCAGGGAAGGCACTGATGGGTAAGGGATAAGATGATCAGGAAAGCAGTGTCTAGAGACATGTTTCTGAATTTGCAGTTCCAGTGTTCCAGGGTTGGGTCTGGGTGGTGGGGTAGGGAGGAGTTGCTTCTGTGTGTCTAAAGAGCACACCTGCTCTGGCCACCTCTGAGGAGAAGCCAGGACCAAGGGAGGAAGCCAAATCTTGAGGGATTGGAAGAGCTTTCTGTTAACACTGTTCAGAAATGGAATAACAGTATTTTTGTACCTTGCACGTAATAGGCTTTTAATAAATACTGCTGGAATTAGTGGTGAATTACCACAACAGGAGAAAGATAGCCCAGCTATCCAGAGGGCTGCTGGGGCATAGCAGGTTATCCTTGATCAAAGATCAAGTAGGTTTCAACAGGCACTGTTCCACTTGATGTGTGGCTCCCAGGAGAATCATGTTAAGAAGGATTCTGTGCTATATGTAGCCTCAGAGGGCACGCATGATCACTTAATACTGTCTGCTCTGGGTGTGGGAGGAGGAGTTCAGCGGCAGGTGCACGTATTTGCCATCCCTGGACTCGGTTGACTCTGTGAGAGTCTTCCAGCTCTGATACCCATAAGCTTACTGTTTCACAAATGTTAAGTGAAATCATACTGCACATACCAGAAGCTTAGACCACATACCAGTTCTTTAAAAAATGAATTCCTCCTTGATTGGAAGAATTAACTCTTCATCAATGCCACTTCCCTTCTGTTTCCAACAGGAGAAGGAATGAGCCAGGCAGCAACCATATGCAGGTCCAATTTTAAGGTAAACTTTGAAGCTGATAATCTGTTTCTTGGAAGGGAGGAAAAAAGGGAGAGCTTTCACCCCAGCATGAACAGGAGAATAGCATCGATTTTGGGATATGATGTTGGATCAGCCCGAGAGTTCAGAGCTTCTTTGATCCTGTCCTTTTCTAGGAGGACATGATGTCATGGAGTTCCCTTGGGATGTAGACTGCACAGTGATTTCTTGGGGATAATAGGTATTCCTATAAGGCCTGAGCCCCTGATTTCCTTTTCTACCATGGGCTGGGTTGGTGAGAGTGACTTTTTCTATTTTGGTTTTTTTATTTTTCAGTACTGGGGTTTGAATTCAGGGTCTTGCACTAACTAGGAAGTGCTCTACTGCTTGAGCCACACCCCCAATCCTTTTCTGCTTTTAGTTTGTTTTCAGATAGGGTCTCCTGCTAACTTTGTGTGGGCCAGCCTCTGACCAAAATCCCCTTACATCTGTCTTCTGAGTAGCTGGGACTATGACAGGTGTGCCACCACTATGACCAGCTTGGTGTTGGGTTTTTTTTGTTTGTTTGTTTTTGTTTGGTGGTACTGGGGTTTGAACTTTGGGCCTCATGCTAGGCAACTGCTCTATCACTTGAGCTATACCTCTAGCTGTTTTTGCTTTAGGTCAGTTTTTTTTTTTGTGGTAGTACTGGGGTTTGAATTCAGGGCCTCCCACTTGCTAGGCAGGTGCTTTACCACTTGAGCCATGCTGCCAGCCCTGTTTCGTGTTGGGTATTTTTGAGATAGGATCTCATGAACTATTTCCCTGGGCTGACTTTGAACCTTGATCCTCCTGATCTCTGCCTTCAGAGTAGCTAGGATTATAGGCATGAACCACTGGCACCTGGCACTTCAGGTCATTTTTAGGGTAGGGTCTCCCTTTTTTTGCCTGGGGGGCCTCGGACTGTGATTCTCCTACCTATGCCTCCTGTGTAGCTGGATGGCAGGTGCCACCATGCTCCACTTATTTGGTGAAATGGGGTTTGGACAACTTTTTGCCCTGGCTAGCTTTGAATTGTGATCCTCATGAACTCTGCTTCTTGAGTAGCTATACACCCAACCCTTAAGTGAAATTTTAATTAAAGTATAACACACAGAGATACAAATGCACAAATTTTAAGTGTGCAGCCCAAGGAATGTTCACAAATGAACATCCCTGTGCAAGCAGCACCCAGATCAGAAATGGGATGCTTCCAGCTCGCCTTCTGGTCACATCACCAGGGTCCTCTCTCTTTAGATTTTGTTGGCATACATTGACTTTGTCTGTTTTTCAGTATTTTAGAAATGGAATCATTACTTCATGTATTCTCATCTACCTGGCTTCTTTGTTTCAGTGTTTTATTTGTAAGATTCAACCCTGTTGCTGTCTGCAGCTTATTTTGCTCATTGCTGTTTACTTTTCCACTGTAGCAACATTCCATAATGAGTTTACCTGTTCTACTGTGATGGGCATTTGATTGTTTCCCTTTTCTGGCTATCATAGTATTACTGTGAACATTCCAGTACACATCTTTTGGTATACGAATGTGTATATTTCTATTGGATTTGTTTGGATTTGCTGGGTCATACGGTGCATAAATATTTAGTCTAGGAATACCTGTGAACAGTTTTCTCTACTGGTTGTACTAGTGGATACTCCTGCCAACAATGTGTAAGAACTTCAACTGCTCCACATCCAGGCAACATGGGGTGGTGTTTTCCTTTCATTTTGTCCTTTCCGTGATATTTAGTTTATATTTTCTGTGGTTTTAGTTTATATTTTCCTAATGACTAACACAGCTGGACATTTCTTCATATGTTTGTTGACCATTTGAAGACCTTCTGAATCTCTGTATATCTATTTCTGTAGCGGCCCTTTTAATTTAACACTATTATGGGCCCTTAGGCTACTAAGAAAAAAAAGAGGGCCTCTTTGAGAGGGCTCAAGGGAAAGAATTAGTTTCTGAAGTTTCTGTTGCCTGCTTATGTGGCTGTAGGAGTGGCAGGGCCAAGAAACATGGGCCTTGCAGAGGTGCAGGCATGAGTTGGCTCTGAGCATCTCAAGAACACATGGCGTCTTGCCCCCTCTCTTTTAGCATTCTTTCCTTCTTCAGCCTGCTCTGACATTGTATTTAAATCATTCAGCTTCAGTGCCTGGTTGTTGGTTCTGAGGCCCAGGGTGGGAAATCTGAGTGGGGCCTCTGTTCAGAGAAGTCTTTGCTGTGGGAAGGATGGAGCACACCTGCAGGGCTCTAGGGTGGTCCAGGCAGATTGTGGTCATGTGAGCATGGACCTGTGGCAGGTGGGAGGGGCTGGGCAGGGAGTTGGCTTGAGGAGGGGGGCACACTTCTTGGAGAGGCTGGTGAGGAGGGATAAGATTGCAAAAGAGCCAAGGTTTGGGTCCGGCAGGAGATGGGACATGTGGGGTAAGGGGAAGCTGAGGGAAGCTCCGAGGAGAATAAGGTGTCTTTTCTGTAAGGAACTGGGGAGCCCAACAGGGAAGGCTTGGAGAGAGGCAAAGGTGCCTCCAGAGACAGGATACTCACACCTGCTGCCCTCTGTCCTCCTCAGTACATGTACTGGACCATGCTGCAGCAGCTCACACACCACTCTGTCAATGGCTGCAACCTGCGGCCTGGGGATCTCTTGGCTTCTGGAACCATCAGTGGATCGGTGAGTATCAGACTACATCCAGGACTGCCCACATACGGCACCCCTGATCCTCACGCAGACCACAGGGCCCTCAGCTCTTCATTGAAATGGGATTTCAAGTCTAAGGAAGGCATATCTTAAAACTGTCTTCCTCCTGCCTTATATGCCTCTGAAGGCAAGGATTTCTCCTCCACACTCAAACTGGGAATGAGAAGAATCAACACACAGCCATAGTGTCTTTGTTATCATCTCACTCTGCTCCCTTCCAGGGTGAAGTGGCCTCATTGCCATTGCCCTTCTCACCTTTCCCTGTTCTTCATGAGCCTGGGGTGAAGTGTGAAACTCTCAGAGATGATAACTCTGGGGTGGTGTGTGTCTGCCCTTCCCTGAGAGGTCCTGACTACACCCTTTGGGAGGTGACAGTCTCCCAAAGGGAGAGTGTTATGCACAACAGTGCCTGGGATTAGTAGCTGTGGACACCACAGCTGGGAGGGCACTTTGAAGGAGGCACCAGGTATGCTGGTCTGTCCTGAGCAGGAGAGGCCTTCAGTGGGACAGATGACAGGGCAGCCTCTGGGTCTCTGGACAGTTCCACAGCAGCCACACAGAGTCTCAGGGACACCAGCTCTTCCTACACCAAGACTTACTGAACAATGTTCATGTCAGAGCTGATACCCCACAAAGATGTAAATCCATGTGGCCCCTTTTCCCTTTATGAAGGAGCCAGAAAGCTTTGGCTCCATGCTGGAGCTGTCCTGGAGGGGAACGAAGCCCATAGAGCTGGGGACGACGGGACAGACCAGGACATTCCTGTTGGATGGGGATGAAGTCATCATAACAGGTGAGAGCTGCTGAACCCCACAGGCTGTATCTCACTCCTTGCCGAGGGTGCTGATCTAACCATGGGGTGTCTACCTGGCAGCAGAGCACCTGTCTTCCCTCAGGCAGACTCTGCTATTCCCAGATCCTGTGTCTGTGTGGTGTGCATTTTGCTGTGGCCAGGGACTTGGAATGTGAGTGTCCACGACCAACACATTCTGCCTGATTTCCCTTCTTCCCAGCAGAGTTATACCGTGATGGCAGCATCCATACCACTCTGGACTCTGCAGCAAACCCCTCATGCAGAGCGTGACCTGGGACTGAGTTTGGGAAAGTGGAACTGTAGTGATAACTGAGACTTCTCAGCAGCCTGTTTCCAGGAGGCTGGCGTACTCTCTATCTTTTGGGGGCCATTCTTATGTCTGCATGTTAGTAGTGAGGAAGGGCACTGTAATGGCTCAGAGTCAGAAAGACTCAAGTGGACTCCCAGGTCTCCATGTGTGGGGTGACCTTCACCCAGGTATTCAATCATTCTGAGACTCACTTTTCCTCTTTGAAATGGACTTACCTCATGACTTAGTTCTAAGTCTTTAACAGCTTCTCCCTTTGAGGGGAGAAGGGACTTTGAGTCCTTTCCTGAGTTCCAGCGATGAGGAAGACAGATGAAGTATTTGTTCGTCTGAGCTCATGTGCTGATGCCACACCTACACCATTGCACAGATGGGATGATGAAGGCTTAGTGGGCTGAACAACTTGCCCGAGGTCTTGCAGCCAGAACATAAACTCTGGGTTCCCTTTCAGACAGCAAGCCTTCAGAAGCCCATTTTTCATGCCTTCCTAATGCCTTAAATACCTGACAGAGTTTATGTTACGTTTCTATGCTTAAAAATCTTCATCATGGTTTTCATCATGTTTTCCATTTCTTTCCAGAATGCAGCAGGTTTTTTTTTGTCATTTCATTTAATGTTTTTGTAATGCTGGGGACGAGACCCAGGGCCTTGTCCCCAGACTCAGAACCTAGTTTTTAGGAGCCTGGCATCTTGGCCCCTTCTTTTTTTATAAATTTTTTATAAGGATATATTCACTCTATGGAGGGGGGATTCATAGTGGCCATTCTGATTAGACTTACATTGTACATTATTTACATTGCCCCCATCTTTTCTCCCCTTCAGTCTCTTCTCTGTCTCACTTAAAGCGATTGCAGAAGGTTTCTTAGTTCTATTTCATATAGGTATATGAAGTCCATCTACCATATACTGTCACCTTAATCTCCTTCCTTCTCCCTTCCCCCTCTCATTAGTCCCCTCCACACACTGTACCTATTTTACAGTCCTGGTTTTCATTTAACATTTAAGTTGATTTTCAAAGGGGTGTTTCAGTGTATATCTATTGTGGGTGTATTTTACTTTGGTCTGTTCAACCCTTTCCATTGCTCTCCCTTACCCCTTTACCTCCACCTCCCATTTCCAGCAGTTTTCATTATATATCCTTATATCCTCTACCTTCAAATCTTATGTTTTACAATATTATTCTCTTTTCCTTTCCTTCTTTCCCCAAGTTCCATAGAGTAGTTCCACTGTAACAAACATGTTCTACAGCCAAGTTTGTATATGATCATGCTTGTTTGGGGTATATATTTATCTTTGGATCTATCTTCCATGTATGAGAGAAAACATGCAGCTTTTGTGCTTCTGATCCTGGCTTACTTCACTTAACTTGATGTCTTCCAGTTGCATCCATTTACCTTCAAACCATGTGTCATTATTCCTTATGGTTGAGTAATACTCCATTGTATATATATATCACAGTTTCTTAATCCATTCATCAGTTGTAGGGCACCTGGGTTGTTTCCAAAGCTTGGCTATTGTGAATAGTGCTGTGATGTACATTGGTGTTCAGGTGTCTCTATTGTATCCTGTCTTACATTCCTTTGGGTAGATGCCTAGGAGAGGTATCACTGGATCATAAGGCGGTTCTATCTTTAGCTCTTTGAGGGATCTCCATACTGCTTTCCATAAGGGTTGTACTAGTTTGCATTCCCTCCAGCAGTGTATAAGGGTTCCTGTTTTGCTGCATCCTCACCAGCATTTGTTGCTCTTATTACCATTGATTGTGGCTTGGCCCCTTCTTGACGAAGAGAATAAATCAGGGGGTCTGCTTTGCCCCTCTGGGTGTACTCAGGGGTGAGGAACATCATCCTCCACTCTCACTTCCCACACCCTGCTCTTGGCCTGCTGACCACGCATTTCCCTCTGGATGTCTTATTGTCATTCCTTCTTTCATGATGCTGTCCTGGGACCACTGATGGTCTGCTCTGTGGCCTGTAACTTGGGCCCCTTTCTTCAGCATTCTGCTGAGTATCCTTTTACGCTCTCTCTGTGCAGCTGACCTGCTCTAGACCTGCCGCTGACCTATCAATGGCTGGAATCCTAGCAGAGCTTCTACCCCAGCCCCCTACAGTACACCCTGCTTGTGGCTCCTGAAAAAGGAGTCTTCATGTTTGATTTCCCCTGTTGCTCTGCTCAGGGTCCTCCCATGCCCCCCTCTGCCTGCTTGATGGAATTGATATTCTCCTTTCCCCTGATTCAGTTCTACCCACCAAGCCTCATTCTAATTCATAAGCTTCTGCTGTAATAAAGCCTGCTTTTCTCATTGCCTGTAAACCCTGGGACTTAAGCCTGGCTCCTCCAAATTAGTGCCTTCCCTGATAAGGCAGACACAACAGTCTCTGTCTTCTCTGTTGGTGACTCACTCAGAATGTAGAATTTAATTGCATGTCTCTTGGTTTCCATGTTTAACTGAAGAGCTCATATTAGTTTCCTGTGGCTGTGGTAATAAAATACTATGAGCTTCAACAGAAATGAATTCTCTTACAGTTCCAGAGGGTAGAAGTTCAAGATGCAAGTGGTAATGGGGCTGCTCTCCTTAAAAGGCTTGGGGGAGGACCAGTTCTCACCTCTTCTGGTGGTTGCCACTATTCCTTGGCTTGTGACAGCATCACTTCAGTCTCTGCCTTTAATCCCTGTACCACCTTCTCTCCTCTGTCTGTCAAGTTTCCCTCTGCCTGTCTCTTATAACACACTTGTGATGGCATTCGGAACCCACCCAGGTAATCTCATTTTAAGATCCTTCACTTAATCATATCTGCAAAAACTTTATCCTACAATGTAAGAGCCATAACTCAGTCTGGTACCTTGTGCTTGGAGGGCAGGCTTGGGCCGAGTGACAGCTTCATAGTGGGCACCACGAGGCTGCTGGGTTAAACAAAGTGACTTTTGCAGAAAAGATGCAGGCAGAGCTCCATAGGCAACAAATGATACCTGAGTTAGTCAATAAGACACACTTTCCTTTCATTATTTCCACAGCCTAATCAGACCTTTCCTTTTTTTTTCATCCATACTGCAAATTTTATTTTATTTTATTTTTTTACTTGTTTTTTATTCATTTATTCATATGTGCATACATTGTTTGGGCCATTTGTCCCCCCAGCCCCCCTAGCCCTTTCTCTCTTCCCCCCACAGCCCCCTTGCTTCCAGGCAGAACCTGTTCTGCCCTTTTCTCCAATTTTGTTGAAGAGAAGATATAAGCAATAATAAGAAAGACAGAGCATTTTTGCTAATTAAGGATAGCTATACAGAGAGATTCCTAGCATTGGTTCCATGCACAAGTGTGTTACAACCCGAATTGATTCATCTCTACCAGACCTCTTCACTACTTCCCAGTCACCTTCCCATATTGACCTCTGTCATTTTAGGGTTACATATTATCTCCTCTGCAGTGGGGACATCAAACACTTTCAAATTTTGGGTTTCCTACCTATTCTCATTCCTCCTGTATGTGCTCTCCCCTTGTCATGTGACCCAAGTCCAATGACACTACTGTACTTGCCCTAGATCTAAAGTCCGCACATGAGGGAGAACATATGATTTTTTCTTACTCCAGTTTAACTGCATGGTTGCCCCATGGTCTCTGTGGATTCTACATCCATGGATTCAACTAACTGTGGCTTGAACATACTCAGAAAAAAGTCGTGTCTGTACTGAACACATAGAGCTTTTTCCTTGTCATTATTTCTTAAACAACACAGTGTAACTATTTACAGAGCATTTGCATTGTATTGGGCACTATAAGGCATCTAGTGATGATTGAAAGTGTGGGAATGATGTATATTGGTTCTATGCAAACACTATGCCATTTTACTCAGGGACTTGAATGTCACAGGTTTTGGTATCCCAGGGAGGCCCTGGAACCAGTCTCCTGCAGATACTGAGGGACGGCTGAACACCTGGGAGGGCCATGCTGTAGGTATGTCCACATTCACAATTTCAGTTTATACTCACACTAGCCCCTTGGAAATGCATCACTGCTCTGGTTTTGCAGAGTAGAAAACTTACGCTGATAGAAGGCAGGTGACTTACCACAAGTCACACAGCTGGGAAAGCCAGGATATGCTTCTGCTTCTCCCACTAGTTTTTTTTTGTTGTTGTTGTTGTTGTTTTTGGTTTTATACTTTTTAACAGTGCTAAGGATTGAACCCAGGGCCTCATGCATGCTAGGCAAGCACTCTACCACTGAGCCACACCCTCGCCCACTGCTGGTTTTGTTTCTAGTATTTCTGCAATGCCTACTGGACCCACCCAGACTTTTGGTTGTGGTTCTGTAGATTGAGTGAAAGCATTCTCTTGTGTTGGTGTGGTGAGGAAGGAATGAAGGAATTAAGGAAGGAAGGAAGGACAGGGACATCAGAAGAGGAGGGAATAGCTTGGCTTCTGTTGTCAGTGTGACATGGGCCCTGACTGAGCCATTCTAGATCAGGCAGCTGTCAGGCTGGGAGAGCAGAGACGGGTGCAGAGGCAGATAGGACCCACAGGTGTTCTTGTGCCATTTTATTGGAAAACTTTTTTGGGGGGGCCATAACAGAGCTTGAACTCAGGGCTTTGTGCTTGCTAGTCAGGCACTCTGCTGCTTGAGCCACACCTGTAGCCCTTTTTGTTCTGGTTAGTTTGGAGATAGGATCTCATT